TCCCCAGCACTGTTCCCATCCCCCAATTCCCCAATAAAAAATCTTTAAAAAAAGTAAAAAAATAAAAAAATAAAAGAATAGATGATTTTTTTGGTTATTTTGCATAAATGGCATTATCTGGCATTCTCTCTCATTCTGAGCTTGTTCTTTCTCCTCCATTTTATGAATTTCATCTTTGAGTCATAGACACATTACAACAGTAAGGATATTAGTGAATATCTAGCCACCACTTATTTTATTATATTAATCTTAGTTTTTAAAATAATATAATTATGTAAAATTAGAAAAATATTATATATTTAATTTCTGCCCTATATATAGAATCACTGTTACCATGTTTGGATACTTTCTTCTAGTCTTTTTATGTCTCAAATCTTTTGCATAATTGAAATAAAATTTTTTATGTTACTAAAGTCACTTTATAGTATATTATTGTTCTTTTCCCCCATTTCTATGTGATCCTTATGATAGTTATGCTTAACGCTTCCAAAATTATCATCTAATATATACACTATAACTTAACTATCTCTTTATCCTGAGATATTTAATGTATTTCTGTTAAACTTTCTCTTTTAAAAATATGTCTGCAATAAACAAAACAAAACCTCTGAACTTGTTAACTGTTATTATATTTGGAGTTATTTCCTCAGATTAAATTACAAAACCTTTTGTAAAATATCTGCTGTATTACATATTTTCATTTTGGCATCTTGTGGTCATAGAAATATGAATGAGCAGTTAGTATAATACATATTTTATATGATGCTTTTATTTTACATATAGACTTTTAAACATATATAGAAATTATCAGTACTACACTATTCTCTCTACAACTAGGTGAGAATAATAAGATTGCCTTTAGAAAGTTAAATTACAATGAATCAGAGCAGAGATATGTCAAGTCACCTAACCTGATTGAATGTATTAACATTATATAAAGAAAAACGTGTTAACCAAAGAGCTTGTTGGCCAGTCCCAGAGGCAAAAATCACACGGCTATGTCATTGTAAATTAATAAATTAATTAAATGAATACTTCACTTATTGTGATTTGACTTCCTATGAAGATTACCCATGGGGAGAAAATGGCCTTGTCAAGCAGATACAAATATTCCAGTTTCTGAGGCAATTACATTTATCCTTGTAAATTGAATTGACATTTAGTCCCAAAATTCTGTTAAACATTAGTCTGCCACTAAGAGATAAATCTTCCAAACCTACAAAATCAGGTTTTGGAATATGTAAGGCTTCTGATCAGACCATCCCCCAGACCCTCCTGCCTTGGGGGATACTCAATAGACAGTCATGTAGTTTTTTCCAAAATAAAACCCACTTTTATCTCAGTCAAATTGATCTTTTCCTTCACAATTTCCCTGATTGCTTCTACATGTAGAAACTATATTTCCTCTAGAGACTTGTGAAATACTTCTATTTCTTCTACTGTTTGATGTTTTAAGCATTTACCCATTTAATTCATTCAGGTAGTACAGTTTGCATATCAAGAAGAACTCACCATTCATTCATTCATTCATTCCATAACTCTGTATCAATTGACTACTAAGTGAAAATCTACATTTTGTCAGGTGCTGAAAAGATAACTGTAAGGATCTCAGTCTAGTGGAGAAAATAAAATAATTTATGGTGCATTGGTAGATTGATTAGTAATGCTATGGGTGTTGTTAGAGAGAAACCTATCCAAAGCCCAGGGATTCAGAAAGGAGAAATGGGAGGTGTGTGTGTGGGAGGGAAGTGGGGGGTTACGGGAGTATCCCAGAAAGGGACCACAGCTCCAGAAATAAAGGATAGTAAGGCTTATTTGGGCAATGTGAGTAATTATATGACTGAAATAAAAAGAGCAGGAGTGCAGGAGCCGAGTGGATCTCCAAGGGTTAGACTGCAAAGAAAAGCAGAGATGAATTATAATCTTATTTATTTCAGGGATCACTTGGCAGGGGTATCGCTACTGAAATCCTCTATTATTCTAGTCTATTTTGTCTTCAACTACAACAAGGGGTTGGCAAGCTTTTTCTGTAAAGGCCAGATAGTAAGTATTTTTTATTTGCATGCCAGAAGGTGTCTGTTCAACTCTGTTGTTTTAGCTTGAAAGGGGTCCTAGACAATATGCAAACAATTGGGTGTGGCTGCATGCTAATAAAACTTTATTTCCATAACAGGCAGCAGGCTGGAATCGGCCTGGTGGTCATATTTTACTTATCACTGGTAGAGAAGAGTTTCTTCAAAATAGTAGATAATCATATTTGGAAATAACAAAGGTCAAATAAACTCACATCTGAAACCATAGGGTAGGTTTTATCTATATACTAGTTAGTTAAAAACTCCTCTTTGAGGAGGATAACACTCAATATGGAATGAGTTAAAAATGAAATAAAATAAAATAAAATTTTAATGAATAAGGTGGTTAATATCACAGATAACATATTCATTCCAATGCTTTCATCACAAAATGAAAACCTCAAAATCTCCAAAATTTTTAAAAATAAAAACCTTGTATATGTACACTATTTTAGAGGATGCACTCTTTCTGCCAAATGTCATAACAACCTCAAAAATACGTGAATCTTGAAGGCAGGTCATGTATTTTATTGAAATTATTCCCAGGAAAACACCTGGCACAGAGAAGCTGTGTTAAGATGCATTTAACTAAGAGCAAATATAATTTTCTTTCTCTTTATAACAGTTGAAAATTTGGTCTTAGTTTAAATGTTTTAATAAGGTCACATAAATAATGTCAGAGGCAGAACTAAAATCCAGATTATCTGACTCCTGGAATTTTAATTTCGGTTATACTCTACTGCCACAGATATGAAAAAGAACACAGGGCTAAACAATTAATATTGCATAAATACACCAAGATTATTAAAATGTCTTTTATGGGATGGTCTTACTGCCTTTGTCTGCTCAAAACTCCCTTGAACAACAAACTGCCTCTGGACTCCTGCTCCACAAATACCACCTTAATGCAGATGACTCTGTCTTTGACCCAAGCAGGTAAGTCCATAGATGGGCATCTAGCCCAAACTAAGCCATAGGAGAACTTCCCTGGGTATTTTAGAACTGTCACTGAGAAAAATACCGCAAAATATAAACTCAGGAGTTATTAACAGACGTGTTCTGTCAGTGGACCATGGAAAAGAAATATCCAGCTTGCAACAAAAGAAAAGAATGAAGTGATTTACAGGGAGGCCGTTGGATAAAACTTGGAGAGAAAGCCCTGAGCCGATTCCAGCCAGTTCAGCTGTTCTAGATGTCTAAATATAATCTTATCCCTGGGTTCCACAGGGAATCCTGCTGTCCTTAACATATATTATCATCTCCAATTACAAAGTAATAGCTAATACAAAGAGTCATTCAGTGAGCACATAGTCAATGTTTATCTGTGTTTATCTGATTTGAATCTGGGAACAGTCTACATTAATAAAGTTAAGAGGACAATTGAGACAACTACCCATAAAAAAATACATAAAAATTACTCTCTTCTGAAGTTTTTAGGTACAAGGCAAATATTCCCCAATGGAGAAAAATCTGTCTGACTAAATATGTTAGCTTGATACCAAAGAAACCATAGGCATTCTTTATATCCAAATAACGGGCTGACTAAATTCCCATTATTCTGACCTGCAGTCTTATAGAGAAAATGCTGTGATTGAGGCTGCTTAAAATGACAAAATGGACTTTACTCCATCATCAAAAAAGAGTGGTTGAACGACCTTGTTGGCCTTTCTTTCTCTTTCCTCTGTACTAGTTCAGAGATAGTCGAGGATCAGCAAAGTGTGGTCATGTATCAACAATTGATTCATATTTTAAAAATATTTAGTTGGCTGATAGGCATAGGCATACTCAAACATATTTAGCCCCCAAAAATTTAATAGAGGGACTTACTCTCCTTTAAGATTGCACAAGTGTTGGGGATTTGGAAGAAATCTGCAGCCATTCTTTTTACAATAAATGAGGCTAAAGGATTGTACAAAAGCATTAGCAGCGGTTTCTGATTAACATGCCTCTTCTTTTAAATATACAATGTGATTTTCTAGGTGAGTGATCTTCAAAGTATGGTCCCTGGACCAACAGCATGAACATCACTTGGAACGTATTAAAGGCACAGACTCTGGGGTCCCACTCAAGACCTACTGAGTCAGAAATTCAGGGTGTGGGGCAGCAATCTATGATTCTAACACATAGTGCTATGGATTGACTTGTGTTTGTCCATTTCCCCTTCTCCCCACCAGGTTATATGTTGAAGCCCAAAACCCTAATGTGATGATATTTGGAGGTGGGGTCTTTAGGAGATAAGTAGGTTTGGATGAAGTTGTGAGGGTAGGGTCCTCATGATGGGATTAGTACCCTGAAGAGATCAGAGAGCTTTTTTTCTCTCTCCTTCCAAAGATTGTCTGCTTTTTGTCTCATTCAAAAAAGGAAAGACATTTTGGGACAAAATCCAGGGGCCGTATAAGGAACATCCTTGCCATTTCTAAATAAATGTCACTCTCTACAGTTATCTTGTTTCCCCTGCTAAAAGATAGAATGTTTGGTCATCTATTTTTGAGTTTATGATATTATAAGATATCTTCTCCTCCACCACCTATATTATTGAAAGTCACTGGATTGTGGGTTCCAGTTTGTGAGTTAGTGCGTCAAGAAAATAATGAACCACTTTGTTATAAAATGTTCTAAATATTATTTAAAAATCTATATAACATTGAAAAAACTCGTAGATGTTGGATTTTAAAGTCATTGGAACATAATCTTTGAAGTGTTATCATGTATGTAACATATAAATGTTAAAAGCAGATTTTACTCTTCAGCTTTGACTAATGCAATGTTTGCAATTAAACTCTTTGCCAGTAGGTGGTGCTAGAAAGTTTAAAATTTATTCCAATAATGTAGTTGAACTTCCTGAAAAAGCTGTGCTAAAATCTTTTTTTAAAAAACGTTATGAAACCACACACACACACACACACACACACACACACACACACAACTAACCCCTGCTTGTTTTTGTTACAGCTCCATTTAAGACAGTTCGACTTGTTGGTGGTAGTGGCCCTCACGAGGGGAGAGTGGAGATTTTCCATGATGGCCAGTGGGGTACAGTTTGTGATGACCACTGGGAATTGCGTGGTGGACTGGTCATCTGTAGGAGTTTGGGATTCCAAGGTGTTCGAAATGTGCATAAGAGAGCTAATTTTGGACAAGGTAATTTTTTAAGATGTTATTTATTTGTTTGTTTGTTTATTCATTTTAATGAAGCATAGGTGTTCTCTAATAGGTAGAATCCAGTAGAGACAGGAACATATAAGATAGGAAGAAATATTCTATGTAGGATTTTTTTTAAATGGCCATTCCTATAAAGTGGAAATGAACAGAAAGGATTATTAAAAACAAATGACAATCGTCAGGTAGGATAATCCTTACCTGTTTCTCCTTTTGGAAGGTGGATTAGAACATGGTGATTGGAGTTGGCATGACTTGTGATTAACAGCTCTACATAATCAGGACTTGCAACACCCTGATTGCTCATATCTGATTTTTCTTAAAAAAAACAAAAACAAAAAAACCAAAACAAAAACAAATGACGTATGCTCTTTGACAACTTTTAATATTTAAATTTCATTTAGATTCAATTGGCTAGATGGAGAGTACTAACACAAAGGAAAATAGAGTGGGACAGGTGAGTTACTGACAAGGCATGACATCCTGGGAAGCTCAGTTTACATCGCTGCGTCTGTGTGTGCTCGCTCATAATCTCTCCTCGGGGGAACTGGAGAAGAGGATGACAGCTTTTTTGCATTTACCTCCCAGTCATGTCCTACAGGAATGAGATCTATCCTTGGTGCATGATGGAGCACCTGTACTCTGAAAGGACAGTGAAAAGCCATGAAAGAGAAAGAAGCAATTATATGGGTTTTCTGTACCTACTGCTTCTACTCCTTTAAGGAACACGATGGAAATAAGGAAAGGGAAAAAGGTTACTATTTGAGGTTGATAAACCATTGATTAATTCTTTTGCTGTGTGAAAAATGTGCATATTTCACCTGGATGGCTCAGTAACCTGTTCTATGAATGTATTAAGAGAGCTAGGAAGAAAATTTGCAGGGGACAAAATATTTGAATATGTACCCATGACATTTCTACTATCATATTTTTGTTCTAAATTATCACCTTAAAATAGGTTTTATGTGTAATTAAACATATGCAACTGTTTCAATTCTGAATGACAACGAGATTAGGAAAGAGTAACCATATATATAAATAATAACATTTTAAAGTCAATATATCCTACTTATTTATCCTACTCTCCAAATTGGATAAATAATTGGTTTCTCTGAAGTTGATATTACCAAGACAAACAAACTAACAAAAAAAGTTGGCCTTCTTGGTTTCAAAATTATTATTCTAAATAAATATGGGCAAGAGAAAATTATATGCAAAATTATAAATATGAGATTATCTGATAATGCTATTTTATCTATAGTGATAAAACAGGAGAATGTGTCAAAGCATCATATCAAAAGACTAGAACAAGATAAGATTGACTTCTTAAATTCATGAGATATTGTTAACTAATGTTATTCTACAATTTATTGAGTAATAGTTATGTGCCAGGCATTGTGATAAACACCTGAATATAAAAATAGGTCACGATTCCATCCTTTATTCCTTAACCTAAATGAATCCACTATGTCAGATTTAAGAGATTAATTTAAGTGGGAGTCCAGATTCTAAAGTCTCCAGAGACCAGAAAAATAATATAATTTCATGAAAAGCCATGACAAGACAGAAGAGTAGTTAAGTTGAGAGTTTCTGTGCCTAGGTTAAGCCCCTGGTCACTAGCTTTTCATTTGTGTCTTAAAGGTTTAAAAAGGAGAAATAAAGGAAATAGAAAATATCTGTAATTGGCCGCAACCAAATAGATCTTTGAAATTTCCAAATGTTCCATCTCTATTACACTTTCAGAACTTTTCCCCCAGATTGAAAAGTGTGGGACTAAAATCATTTTAGCACCTGAAAAATTGACCTCCTAAAGCAAAATGGTTATAAATGTCAATAAACTACATTTTTTGTTGGTGGTGTTCCAGAGAGGGGGGAAAGAAAAACATCCCCAACTCTTGGCCACTAGACAATCAAATGAATTAGTTAATCATTTAGCAAGTTTAAGCTGCCAATTTGCATTTCCACAATATTGTATGGGAAGAGAATTCATTTCTATGGTAACTAAGATCTATAGCATAAATAGCTATTTCAGATACATGATTGTATAAAACATTTCAAATGACAGCATCTATGAGGTGGGCAGCTACAGTTTTAATAGAAGGCACACGATTCTCATCCACAGTGCCTTTACTCACTTGGTAGGTGGCTAAAAATTCTTGTTTTAGAAATAGCATGTGATGATCTGAATTCTTAGGATGTGCTTTTGTTGACAAAATGAAATATAGTTTGCCAGTTGTCTAGATAATTTAATCTATGTGAACTAGCTGACTAGCTCAATCCAAAAAAGAGGAAAATACACTGACATGCCTTTTATCAAGATGAATTATTGCATAGCTTACTTTATTCAAAGAGTTGACAACTCTGCATTTAGCTTTCTATCTTTAAGAAACAAGCCTGGTAGTACAGTTTATTAATTCCTTATACGTTGAAGTAAACCTTTAATCTGTTACAAAGAGAAAACCAACTCCAGGGAAACTAATAACGTTTGGCAAAATACAATCTGTGGTAGGAAAGACAACAAGATGGTGTACCCCTGCTTTATTTCTTCTGTGAATATGAAGCCTTGTCATAGACTTCTAAGCTGTTTTTCCATTGACGTTCCCAAACACAGACGGTAAAGACACAGCTGGAGACTACTGTTTTAAGATTGCATTAACTTTAAGGCCTGGTCCCACAAGTAAAATACTCTTTATCCCCCAGCTTTTATTCATTCCTGCTCATATCCCTAGACATTTCTGGTCTAAAGCATTGGTAAAAAGGAAGAGAATAAGTATTTTAAAATACTGGCAAGAAAATGTTTTCTATTTAAATAAGTAATGAAACAATAGAGTTTAGTCTCCTGTGGTTGTTTTGTTGGCTATACGGAGTCAATTTTCTTCAGTTTTCTTCAAATAATTGACTATTTCTCTAAGATGAATGTCCGATTTTAGTTAGGCTGTGTATTTGTGATAGTTGGTGATTCTATACATTATATTACAGTTTCATTATAATAGAACAACAAGGCACGCCAGAATTCTATTTTTCACATTTTCAAGGGCCGGCTAAAGTGAATTGGAAAGACTGGGCATTTGATAACTAAGGAGCTACAAATGGAAACTTTAGCTCTGATACGTATGTCTCAGAATTTCAATTTTTTTTCAATGAAATAAGAATAATAATAATACCAACCCAGCAGATTTATTTTGAATCTTAAATGAGCTGTCATACAAAATGGGCCCAGTACAAAGCCTGTCTCATAGCATTGCTCAAGAGTTGGGCAGAGATTGCCACCAAAGATATAATTACAAGTTTATTTTCCATCCTTTTTGAGCGGTATTGGGTTGTTGGAAAAGTCATGACATATTTTTTCTATGTTTTTCATTGCAAAAATGCATCATGCCTTTTCCGACAACCCAATCGAAGAGTCAGCTCAGTATTATATGGTATACTGACAGCAGTGGTGTCCCAAGGTTCATAAAGTTGAGTTTGTACTATTGTACAGAGTCTGTTCTATTGTACAGACAGGTGTGACAGAAGTGCACTGTGCAGGAACTCTGATGACTTCCCCATTGCCCCCAAAGCAGGTCCAGCTCTCGTCTCCGCTCTCTATGTAGAATTCAGTGCCAAACAACTGAAGAATGATTATGAGCATTTTAAAATAGCAAAGCAAGATGAGCTGAGAGAAATACTGGAACTGAGGTGACTGGTTCTGAAGAACAAGAATCTGAGAAATAAATTTCATGATCGGCTTCATTGAACATAGCATTTTAAGAAACAGGCTTACCTTGTAAGCTGATTTGGGATTAGACATGGCAAACAACCTCTTTATGGAAAGCTGTTTGAACTCCTAATTTCCCCACTCCTCCACCTTAAATTTACAGTTTCACTCAGGGGTAAAAGAAAAAGCCATTTGGAATGCAGAAAAGAGACAGGAAAGGAAACTTAGAAATATGAGTGGAGGAAACGGGAAGAGGAAGAGATGCATTAGAATTTTTAATTATTTGTCATTTCTTAGGGAAGTAAAAAGAATCAGATTAATATGACTTTATGCATTATTAGTAAAATTGAAACAAGAAGGAAAAACTTGAATGTATTCCCACTGTATAACTCCCCCCATTAAAGAAAGAATACAATTTTCTGGACACAGTCTCCCCCACTCCCTTTTATTTTCTGGTTTTAAAATAGCAATCCTGGCTTACAGAGAAGCAGCTGAAAAAAATAAAAAAAAAGATTTATAGGAAAAAGCTTAAAGCACGCTCCTTTAAATAATAGTTTCTTCCATTTGGATGCACCTTTTGCATAAAGTGAAATGATCTTTCTTTTTCCTGAGTAGACAAAAAGGTTAAGGAAACATGGAGAGGTACCTGGTGCTTGTCATTGCAAGAGCAGGAAAGGGGGAGTGAGTCACTTCTATTCTGTGCAGGCTCTCCAATCTCTTATCCCAGTGGCCTCCCTGTAGCAAACTTGGATGATGAACTTGACCTGACAATGGCGGTACTCCGGGAATTTGTCCTCGGCATCTCTGAGCCTGCATGCTGATGTGGGAAGTGCAAGTGGACCTGGAGCAGCTATCTCATCTCCTTCTCAGTTTATAGAAGTTTGTGCTGAAGTTTCAAACTTGAAAGCAGAAAACAAAAGAAAATTCTAAACATAAATGTCATCGTTGATTCATTATTCCTTTCACATTCCATAATCAATTTTTAAATGGAATTTTAAAAAAAATATTAGAATAAACTGAAGGAGATCAAAAATATAACTGCACCTCTGCTTTAGTGAATGGGAGTAAAAATAATCTCAGAAATAAATAAAATATACCAATGGGTCAGAAGTCAAATACATACTGATCCCTGCAGTAGATGTTTAGATGTCGGATATTATAGAACCTGATAGAGCCTATAGGGTTCTTAACATATTTGTCTGGTTACTTATGGGAACAAAGACAATACTAAGTATGAAATAATATTGTTTGTCAAGAGCTTACTACATGATTTTACTTAGTGTAC